CGGTCCTGACCCGCGCCCCACTGCAGTGTCTCAATGAGAGCCGAGCCAGGGCCCCCGGCCGTCCCTGCCCCTCCTCTCCCCTCCAGCTGTCCGCTGTCCCGGCCCAGTGGACTTTGAGAACGGCATGTACACTCCAAGGCTGGGCCTCCACCCCGTGGGCGGCAACCTGAGCTTCGAGTGCGACGAGGGCTTCAACCTGCGCGGCTCCCCGGTGCGGCGCTGTCGCCCCAACGGCCTGTGGGACGGGGAGACCGCTGTGTGCGACAACGGGGGTGAGTGCCCCGCCGGCTGGCGGGCTGCGTGGGACTAGGCCTGGAGATTCTAGGGGTGCAGGACGGGAGGGCGCTGCTGCCTCGGGGCCTGAGCCAGTGGCCCAGTGTGCCGGACTCCCAGCTTTTGGTCTTTCCTAGGCAGCTGCTTACTGAGGCATGAAGGTGATTTACCTTTTTTTTTTTGGTACTGGGGATCTCAGGTCCTTGCACTTGTGAGGCAGGCGGCGGAACCACTGAGCTAAATCCCCAGCCCTGTAATTTCCTTTTGAATTGGGGTGAGTCCTACCCACAGGAAAGTGCAAGCCTTTGTGTGCTGCCGCTGGAGGCCGCGCGTGTGCCCTGCAGTCCTCCCGCCTCAGCCTCCTGAATAACATTGTCCAGTGCTGTGACACTGAACTGTACGCCCAGCCACAAAGGTGTAAAATCCCAGGTATTCAGCCTGGTGCACTTTTGCAAGTGTGTCTGCCATTGCCAGACAGAGAACCTGCCCCACACCACTCGAGGCTCGTTCAGATCCCTTCCATCCCGGGAACTCCTCTCTGACGTTTGCCTGCATGGACAAATTTAGCTTATACTTCATATAAATGGAATCACGCAGGATTCGCTCTCTCACTCTGGCTTGCTTTATTCAGCGCTCCTCCTGTGAGCTTTAACCATCACTGAGTGTAGCAGAACTTTATTGTTCTTCACTGCCATGTACTATTCCCTTGCATGACTGTATTATACATTATCCGTTCATCCTTCTGTGGATGAGAATCTGGGTCATTACCAGATCAGGGCCGTTGACGAGCAGCTGTAAGGGTATCCTCATGTACGCCTCACTGTTTCCTCTGAGTACGAGTGGCATTGCATGGAGCGTTGATACGCGGGTACGTGTTTAGCTTTAGTGGTGGATGACAGTTTTGCTGACGACTTGTAGCACTGTAGCAGAGTTCTGGGCGCTCCACATCCTGATGCCTGCAGTTGTAGAGTCAGCCCCGCTGGGTGTGTAGTGAGCTCAGTGCCGAGGACGGCTCCGCAGCCGGGCTTCCTGGGCCCCCAGAAGACATGGGTGAGGCCCAGCTCAGGGCTGGGATGCTTGGGGGCCATGGAGGCCCCGGAGCGCGGCAGCCTTGGTCTTTCCCGGTCTGCAGCAGCGGCCCGGCCCGCACTCCCTGGCGCCCTTGCAGCCCTGAGGGTCTCTGAGGAAAGCTGGGGGCGGCCAGGCGCCTGGCTCACTTGTGTGCCTCTGTCCACAGCTGGCCACTGCCCCAACCCCGGCATCTCGGTGGGTGCAGTGCGGACGGGATCCCGCTTCGGCTTCGGGGACAAGGTCAGCTACAGCTGTTCCTCCAGTCTGGTGCTCACCGGGTCAGCGCAGCGCGAGTGCCAGGCCAGCGGGGTCTGGAGCGGCACGGAACCCGTCTGCCGCCGTGAGTGGCCCGGCGGCCCTGGGGGTCAGGTGCGGTCGGGCCCCGGCTGAGCTCGACTGTCCCCGCAGAGCCCTACTCCTACGACTTTCCCGAGGACGTGGCCCCCGCCCTGGGCACCTCGCTGTCTCACCTGCTGGGAGCCACCAACCCCATGCGGACAAAGGAGGGTGAGCGGTGGTGCTGGCGCCGTGGGAGGGGGCGCCCGGGAGGCGGGGCCGCAGCGTCCTCCCTCTGGCGCTCTCTGCAGGAAGTGTGGCCCGTAGGATCCAGATCCAGCGCTCCGGGCATCTGAACCTCTACCTGCTGCTGGATGCCTCACAGAGCGTGTCAGAGAGGGACTTCGAGATCTTCAAGGACAGCGCCATCTCCATGGTGGACAGGGTGAGGAGCCGGGTGCTGGGGGCCGTCCTGCCTCAGCCTCCCGCCCTCCTTGGTCCCTTGCGTGGTCCCAGATGAGACGTGTGCAGTGTGGAGTCGTTCACTGATTCATATTATAGTTTTCAAACACTGCTGCCTGGGAAGCACAGGGCTGGGTGCAGGTGCTTGGGGACCCCAAAGATGAGCAGGTTGGAGCTGGGGGTGGTGCCACACGCCTGTGATCCCAGTACTCGGGAAGTTGAGGCAGGAGGATCACCCAAAGTTCCAGGCCAGCCTGCACTACATAGTGAGACTCTGTCTCGAGGAAACAAAACAAAACAAAAGAAGAACGGGGCCAAGGTCCTTTTCTCCAGGAATTCATCTCCTAGGGCCGTGGTCTCCCACAGGTAGTAACAAGACAGCCCTTGGGAGGTGTGGCAGAAGAATGTTAGTGTACTTGTTGAATAATTTAATTTTAATTAAGTTAATAATGTAGCATTATTTTCCTTTCAGAATTTCAAATTTTGTATGCGTTTAGATAAGTATAGGTCTGTGTAGTGGGAGGACTTAGAACGTCTATAAATATACTTTTATGCCCCTGTCGGGGTGTGTGCCCAAATGTTTTTACTGACAGGCTGCATGAGTCGAAGAGTCTGGAACACTAGTTTCAGTTCCTGGACAGCACATGGTTTCATAACGAGGTATTTCACAATAGTTCTTGCAGATAGATGGGTCTTCCTCCCAGCTACAGCTGGGGATTGAACACAGGGCTTAGGCAGCCTGTGTTGTACCTGGTATGATGGAGCATGCCTGTAATCCTAGCACTCGGGAGGCTGAGGCAGGAGGATCACCATGAGTTTGAGGACAGCCTGGGCTGCATAGTGAGTTCAAGTCCAGGCCGAACTACACAGCGAGACCCCGTCTCAAAAACAACGACAAAAAAAAACAAACCCAAACCAGATGTTCCGCAAATATTACTTCCCTAGCTTTTTGCAAGCTGTAGTCTCTGCGAGGCCCGGCCCCTGTCAGTCTGGCCCAGGCCCTCTGCCTTCTCCAGGCTTCCCCGCTGCTCTCCCTGTCCCCGTGGTCCGGGGCCCTCACACCTCTCACCTGCCGCCCACAGATCTTCAGCTTCGAGATCAATGTCAGCGTCGCCATCATCACCTTTGCCTCAAAGCCCAAAGTAATCATGTCTGTCCTGTGGGACAAATCTCGGGATGTGACGGAAGTGACCTACAGACTGGAGAACGCCAACTACAGAGGTGTGTGTGGCTGCCAGCCGGGCGTGGTGCCCACGCCTGCCGCCCAGCACTCCAGAGGCTGAGGCAGGAGGTTTGGGAGTTCAAGGCCAGCCTGGGCTATAGAGAGAGATCCTGCCTCAAAAAAACCAAGAGGGGGTTGAAGGCACAGCTCTGATGCAGGTGCTGAGAAGGGAGGCTGAGGAGGGCAGATACTGGACGGGGAGAGGCCTCCTGGGGCCTCAGTCCCCAGGCTCCAGGCAGCTCACAAGCCCAGGGTCCTGGTGAGGGCCCAGCGCACAGCCCACTGAGCTGCGCCAAGTGCGACCGCACCGCCGGCTCCACTCCTTCCAGATATCTACCCCGTGGCCATTGCCGGGGTCCCCAGTTAGTCTCCCCGACATGTCTGCTGCATGCTATATAAATCCATCTGGTGGCCGATGTCTAACAGCCCGAGTTCTTTGGAACCCTAATCTCTGAGTCCTGGGACCTTCGAGTGGTTCCGGATGGAGCGTTTCTTTCTGCTTTTGGAGACTGGGTATCACTATACACTCCAAGCTGGCCTGGCACTCATGGAGATCTTCCTGCCTCAGCCACCTGAGTGCTGAGATGACAGGTGTGCACCACCATGCCTGGCTTTTAATGAACATCTCTAAGGTGGAAAGACCTCTAACGTTTAAAGAAGCAAAGCTCTATCTGGATGACAAAGGTTTGAGTTTATCAGAGCAATTGGATAACGTGCATTTCTAGAGGCTGGCATTCCCACACCGAGCGGCAGAGGGAAATGTCTAAAGGGTCCTTCCTTTGGCATATTCCAGATCATGAAAACGGAACTGGCACCAACATCTATGAGGCCCTCAACAGTGTCTACCTCATGATGAATAACCAGATGGTGCGCTTGGGCATGCAGACTGCAGCCTGGCAGGAAATCCGACACGCCATCATCCTTCTGACGGACGGTGGGTAGCATGGACTGAGGTCCTGCAGAGCAGTCCTCCTGCCTCAGCCTCCTGAGTGCTGGGATTCCAGATGCGTGCCACCACCCCTGGCCTTCCACCAGCTATTTTGGAAGAGTCGATGAGTTGTTGTCAGTCCTTCTGTGCTACGGAGCATTAGAAAAATGTGCACTACTTCACGCATTTGCCCCAAATTTAGTATGTGTTCTCCCAAAGCAACATAAGCCTCGGTTTCTTATTTGTAAGATGGAAACGGTGTTGATGAGGACGACCTCAGTGACAACTACAGGCATAGGATGGTGGCCCTCCTCTCCCTGCATGATTTTGTGGAGGGTTGTGTAACAGCGCTCTGTGGTAGAGGTGTCAGGCCTCTCCTCTGTTGGAGGGAAGCCGACGCCAGGGGTCCCAAGTGGAGTTATGGGGCACGGATGGAGCCGCTGCCCGGAGTGGCCTAGGCCTCTGCCGTTTATTCACCTCCTGATTTTGTCCAAACCATTCAGCTCCTCCAGGACGTAGTGTTTTGGTCTGTGAAATAGGGATACCCACATTTTTGGAGTGTTTCATGAGAATGAAGTGAGGAAAAGTCTCTGAAGCTCCCAGTCCCGTGTCTGTGTGTGGAGCATTTCGGGGAGTGGTATATGTTTCGGGGGCCTTGCTGAGGTTTCTGGGCTAAGTGCTTCCTCCTGCGCTCCTGGTGCTGTGGGCACCCCTGAGGCCCAGACGCATTCTTCACCCTCTGTTCTAGGAAAGTCCAACATGGGTGGCTCTCCCAGGCCGGCAGTCAACAGCATCAGAGACGTCCTGAACATCAGGCAGGACAGGACGGACTACCTGGGTGAGTCTGCCCTCGGCCCCGGGGGCACCGTCTCGCCCGTGGTCCTGCCTCCCTTTGCTGTCGCCCTGTGTGAAGGTGGCCAGGCCTGCTTGTGGAGGGGCAGGCGGGTGAGATAGGGCCCAGAGTCGCTCAGGAACTCTGCCTGTGGGCAGTGCCCGTTGGCTCGCATTTCAGGAACCGCTTCAGGAAGCAGGACCTGGTTCCCTGCAGGGCGCTCGGTCCCTGCTGTTCCCAACTCAGTAGTGCGTCAGCTGTCTGGCCCTGACTTGACAGTTCCTCAGGCTCAGGGTCAACACAGATTGCACTCAGCTCTGCCCAGGAAAGAATTTGCTTTTCTTTCATAGTCCCGAGAATTGAAACCAGGGCCTTTGCTGAGTTACATCCTCCAACCTTTTAAAAACATTTTCACTTTGAGGGCTGGGGATTTAGCTCAGTGGTTCTGTCGCCTGCCTTGCAAGCGCAAGGACCTGAGTTCAATCTCCAGTACCAAAAAAAAAAAAAAAACAAAAAACCAACCAAACAAAACATTTTCACTTTGAGACAAGATCTCACATAGTGCTAAGTTGCGCAGGTGGGGCTCAAACTCTTGACCCTCCTGCCTCAGCCTCCCAAGTAGCTGGGATTGCAGGCGTGTGGCTCTGCACCTGGCTGGCAGCTGGTTTTGAGTGTTCAAAGTCTTTCTCTTTGGGTCTTCTTTCCATTTCAACCCTCCCCCCACCTGGGTAATTCAGTATATGTGTACATGTGTGTGTGTGGGGGGGGGCTTGGCAGTGCTGGAGAGTGAACCCAAGGCCTCACACACAATATCTCTTAAAAACCCTCTGGCTCAAGGAATACAAACCCTCTTCCTCCCTGCTTAACACCAGAGACAGGATCACACACTTGCAAAGTCTTCATTAAAAATGAGTAGGAGCTGGGCGTGGTGCACACGCCTGTAATCCCAGCACTCAGGAGGCTGAGGCAGGAGGATCGCTGTGAGTTCGAGACCAGCCTGGGCTACACAGTGAGTTCCAGGTCAGTCTCAACTACATAGTGAGACCCTGTCTCAAAAAAAAAGGAGGGGAAAGGCCAGGGAAAGCCAGAGAAGCCCTGAGCACCAGGCCACGCTGCTGGTCACCCTGCCCTTCACAGCCCAGTGATAAACGGCACAGGTCCCTGGGCTCAGAGCCTGATCACGGCCTTTTGGGAACTCAGTTCTACCCGCTGCAGGCTGCACAACAGATAAAGGCAGCTGGGGACTGAGGGGTGGTGCGTGACAAGCAGAATGGGCTGTGGGGTCGGAGGCTGAGAGTAGAAGGCAGGGCCCTGCTGAGCCAAGACAGGTGGGAAGGGAGCCTGGCACATGTGCAGAGCGCGGGCCTGAGGAGGAAGTGAGGCCAGAGGCTCAGGGCCGGGGAGATGGAGCCCGGCTCGCAGAGATCCAGTCCCAGCCTCCACCGCCGGGGCGGCCCCACCTGGATTCTGGTGACTTCCGCCCTCACCTGCAGACATCTATGCCATCGGGGTGGGCAACCTGGACGTGGACTGGAAGGAGCTGAATGAGCTGGCATCCGAGAAGGACGGGGAGAAGCATGCCTTCAAGCTGCCCGATGCGCAGGCGCTGCGCCAAGTCTTCGAGCACGTGCTGGGTGCGCTGCCGCCCTCTGCTGGGGCCTGGGGACAGGAGGAGCCGGAGGCCGGGACCCTGCTCCTCACTCACCTCGCCCCTCCTCCCTTCCCCAACACAGACGTCTCCATGCTCACGGACACCGTCTGTGGGGTGGGGAACATGTCAGCCGATGCCTCCGACCAGGAGAGGACGCCCTGGCATGTCACCATCAAGGTACCCGAGGAGGAGCAGGGCCGGGCCCCGGGGGTGAAAGCCCCCCGTCCCTGAACATTGTGCACTCCCTGCAGCCCAGGAGCCAGAAGACCTGCCGTGGGGCGCTGCTCTCCGACCAGTGGGTGCTGACGGCAGCTCACTGCTTCTACCAGGCCGAGGACCGCTCCCTGTGGAGGGTCATCGTGGGTAAGGGGCCCGCGCCAGCCTCCCAACCCTGCAGCCCGAACTTCCCCAACTACCCGACTCTGGCCGCCCCGAGGATCCTGGTCCGGCCTAATCTGCAGTGTTGTTCCCAGGGGACCCCAGCTCCCCATGGGGCAAAGAATTCCTCATTGAGAAGGAAGTGATCCATCCCGGCTTTGACGTGCACGCAAAGAAGAACCAGGGCATCCCGGAGTTCTATGGCAATGACATTGCCCTGCTCAAGTTGGCCCAGAAAGTGCAGATGTCCACTCACGCCAGGTGCCCGCCTGCGGCAGGAGGGTGCCTTGGGACCAGTGCCCCGGGGAGACCCGAGGGGACCCAGGGGGAGCCTGCTTGACGCTTGCCGTTGTCCCCAGGCCCATCTGCCTCCCCTGCACCGTGGAGGCCAACACTGCCCTGCGGAGACTTCAGCGCAGCACCTGCAGGGATCACGGTGATGCCCCGGGCTGAGGGTTTGGGGCACTGACATCTGCAGTTCCCAGCCGCAAGTCTGGGTCTCTTTCTCCCTCTGCAGAGACTGAGCTGCTGAGCCCACAGAGCATCCCCGCTCACTTTGTGGCCTTGAATGGGAGCAAACTGAACATCAACCTCAAGATGGGGTCAGAGGTGAGGTGGGGGGGCTGGGGTCTCCCCGCAGGGCGGCCCCCGAGTGTTGCTCCTCCTCCTCGGGCTCCGGAGGCTCCCTTGCTGCAGGCCTAGCCAGGCTGCGAGGGTCCATCTTTCTCTCCCTGGCCACCCACATGGTAGAGGACACGCTGTGTTGAGGCCGTTGCCCAAGACACAAAGTCGTTCCCCGACCTGAAGGAGGTCGGGGAGGCAGTGACCGACCAGTTCCTGTGCAGCGGGATGGAGGGTGACGCCAACCCCTGCAGAGGTGGGCAGTCGGGCTGGGCGGCCAGGGGCTTGGGGGACAGCGCACGGCCCCAGCCTGACCCTGTCTCGGTCCCTCTGCCTGCAGGAGAATCCGGGGGAGCGGTTTTCCTGGAGCGCAGGTTCAGGTATTTCCAGGTGAGAAGGGCAAGACCTGAAGACCTGGGGCCGGGCCGGGGGTGCTCGGTCTAGCTGGGGGCCGGGCTTGGGGCACGCTGTGCCCACGCCATGCCACGCTCTGCCCCCCCTCCAGGTCGGCCTGGTGAGCTGGGGCCTTTACAACCCCTGCCAGGATGCTCCCAACAAAAATGTGCGCAGAAAGGCTCCCCAGGGTGCCCCACCGCCGCGAGATTTCCACCTGAGCCTCTTCCGCCTGCAGCCCTGGCTCAGGCAGCACCTGGAGGGTGTGCTGAACTTTTTGCCGCTTTAATCAGGGCCCTGGCCCCTTGACTGTCCCTCCTCCTGGGCCATCCTCAAGTCTCCCCCCCCGTGTTTGCTGTGATCCTTTTCACCTTCACACGGAATTTCCCAGTTATGAAATTAATAAGCTGTCCCTCCAGGATCTGCCATCTCCCCCATCTCCCACCCCTGACGTCCACCCCAAGATCCTGTGCCCTGTCTGCGCTCCTAGCTGCAGAAATTCGGGGCCCCAGGCACGCAGAGGAGCGGGGATTCCCAGGCTGGTGCCGGTGTGATGCCCTGCCCCTCCCCTCCTGGGCCATCCTCAAGTCTCCCCCCCGTGTTTGCTGTGATCCTTTTCACCTTCACACGGAATTTCCCAGTTATGAAATTAATAAAACCCTAAGATTTCTCCATCGGTCTGTGCCTCTGCTTGGGGGAGGGGAGGCCAGAATGATTCCAGGAAGGTCAGGGACCCTGCCAGGCAAACAGTGGCTGGACTCTGCCCTGTCGCTCGGTCCCAGGGAGTGGGGGCCGTTTCTGGGTGGTCTCGGCTGGCCAGGACGATCTGGGGGCTGCCAGAGGCTGACGGGGGAGCCCCAGGCCTCAGCAGAAGAGGGTGGGGCCCGGATAGTTTCTGTTTCTTAGGTTGGCAGCTCCGTGGGGCCCTCCTGCTTGGAGATTCCGAGAACGTGGTGTGTGGAGGGCAGGCAGGGCCAGCTCAGGTGCCAGAACATTGCATAAAAGGCTGGGGCGGGTGGGGAGGGAGAAGGCCAAGCCGGGTGTGCAGCTGAGCCAAGCAGGCGCACAGAGTGAACCTGGAGAAACGTTCCCGACCCTGGCCCCGGCGTCTCTCCTGCCTTCCGTGGCCATGGGGCGCAGCCTCAGCCGCTGGCTCTGCCTGGTGCCCTTGGTCTTGGGGTTCTGGCCTGGAGGTGAGTGAGGCGACTTCCACACAGCTGCCCTTAGCCTCGCTCCTGGGCCGGGCTTCAGCAGCCTCTCTCCTCAGGTGTGAGCACAGCCCCACCGCCCGAGGCTCTGCCCCAGAGCCCCTGCTCCCTGGAGGGTGTAGAGATCAAAGGCGGCTCCTTCCGACTTCTCAGAGAGGGCCAGGCCCTGGAGTACACGTGTCCCTCGGGGTTCTACCCCTACCCTGTGCAGACTCGAGCCTGCAGGCCCTCAGGATCCTGGAGTGCCCTGAAGACTCAAGACCAGAAGGTCGTCAGGAAGGCGGAGTGCAGAGGTTCGGCATGGGCCGGGGAGGGACGGGGCAGGTGGTGGCAGAGGTGGCCCTCAGCAGAGAGGAGAGCTGTGTCCAGAGTGGCAGCCAGCCAGCCTGGCCCTGCGGGGGTAGCGGCAGCTCTGGGGGCGCAGGGAGGTGCAGGGGAGCTCCTTTTGCTCAGCTTCTCCCAGTGCTGGGCAGCGTGGCAGCGGACGCAATGCTCGATGGGCAGGGAGGGGTGGTGGGGCCAGGAGGGCGCTGTTTCTGCATGACCTGGGCCAGACTGGAGGGGGGCTGTGGGGCGCCCCTCCTCCCAACAAGGTCTACTCTCCCTCTTCCCCAAAGCAATCCGCTGCCCAAGACCCCAGGAGTTTGAGAATGGGGACTACTGGCCCCGGTCTGCCTACTACAATGTGAGTGACCAGATCTCTTTCCGCTGCTACCATGGGTACACTCTCCGGGGCTCTGCCAACCGCACCTGCCAAGGCAACGGCCGGTGGGACGGGCAGACGGCCATCTGTGATGACGGAGGTGAGGTGGTGCCCAGCTCTGCCCTCCGCCCTGCCCATGGGGGCTCGGACCCGGCTCAGCTTGCTGTCTCATGCCCCTGCAGCGGCGTACTGCCCCAACCCTGGCACCCCCATCGGCACCAGGAAGGTGGGCAGCCAGTACCGCCTCGAAGACACCGTCACCTACTACTGCAGCAGGGGGCTCACGCTGCGCGGCTCCGAGCAGCGAAGATGCCAGGAAGGCGGCTCTTGGAGCGGCACGGAGCCGTCCTGCCAAGGTGACCCCAGTACTCCATCCTGAGGTCCCCGCACCAGGATGCTGCCTTCCCTCACTCACCCACCCCAGCTCCTTTCTCGCTCCTTCCAAAGCTCCCCAGAGAGCTTTCTTCTGTTCAGACTCATCCCACCCCGGAACCATCACCCTGTCTTTGGCCCTCTGCACAGCTGAGCTGATTCTTGGCTTCTCCTAGACTCCTTCATGTACGACAGCCCTCAGGAGGTGGCTGAAGCCTTCCTGTCTTCCCTGACAGAGACCATAGAAGGGGTGGACGCCGAGGATGGGCACAGCCCAGGTTTGAGGGCAAAGAGGGCATGTGGGCAGGGAGGGGCGAGGGTGAGGGCAGGGTGCGGGCAGCAGCAGAGCCCTACGTGTCCAGGCCTGCATCTCTGCACTGACCCTCAGGGGAGCAACAGAAGCGGAAGATCGTCCTGGACCCCTCCGGCTCCATGAACATCTACCTGGTACTGGATGGGTCGGACAGCATCGGCGCCAGCAACTTCACAGGGGCCAAGCGGTGCCTGGCCAACCTGATCGAGAAGGTGGGGTCCCCTCCCTTGGAACATAGGGGTGCTGAGTGGACCTCACTGCCCTACCCAGAACAATTCCCTGGTACTCTGAGCCCCTTGGGTCTGGGTCTGTCCCTTTCTACGTGAAGCAGCAGCCTGATGTTAGCAGTCGTTTCCGGGAACTTCTACCCTTGGGCCTTTCACCGTGGCTTTTCCTGTCCCAGAAAAGGGGCCGATTCTCCTACCCCTAGTTGTCTATTTTGATGCCATGGTGTCCCGTTTCCCCCACTTGCAGGTGGCGAGTTACGGAGTGAGACCAAGGTACGGCCTGGTGACGTATGCCACAGAGCCCAAAGTCTTGGTCCGCGTGTCACAAGACAAGAGCAGCGACGCAGCCTGGGTCACAGAGCAGCTCAGTCGAGTCAGCTATGAAGGTCAGTGGTCCAGGGAGGGACAGTGGAGGTGCTCGAGGTGGGCTCAGAAAGGGCGGAAGGCGCAGGGTGCTGTGGGGAGAGATCACACAGGGGGGCTGGGGAGGCAGCAAGGTTGGCGGCAGGCAGAAGGGACGTCCGTGGGATCTGCTCACAAAGCGGAGGAGCACAGGGCCTCAGCCGCGCTGGCCAAGGGAGGAACGACCTCTTCCTTCTCCACAGACCACAAGTTGAAGACCGGCACGAACACCAAGAGGGCCCTGCAGGCGGTGTACAGCATGATGGCCTGGGAAGGGGACACGCCCCCCGAGGGCTGGAACCGCACCCGCCACGTCATCATCATCATGACAGACGGTCAGCGTGCCCTGGTCTCACTCCACACCTGGCTGAGTGGGGCCTAGCGCGTCCACAGGTGGTGGCAAAGCTGGCGGCCGGGCCTTCCCGTGGCTCTTCATGAGGGCCCTTGGACCCGTCACGCGGCCCATTCGCCTCCGCTGACTCTGTCCGCACTTCCCACCCTCACGGCCCCATCTCCTCTGCAGGCCTGTACAACATGGGCGGGGACCCAGTCACCGTCATCCACGACATCCGGGACTTGCTGGACATTGGCAGGGACCGCAAGAACCTGCGGGAGGATTATCTGGGTGAGGACCTGCCTGGGAGCTGGGGCTCTGCTGCTCAGGGCCTGGGCGCTCACTTCCCTCTCCCCTCAGACGTGTACGTGTTTGGGGTTGGGCCCCTGGTGGACCACGTGAACATCAATGCTCTGGCCTCCAAGAAGGACAATGAGAAACATGTGTTCAAAGTCAAGGACATGGAAAACCTGGAGGATGTTTTCTTCCAAATGATCGGTAGGAAGATTACAAGCACAGGAGACCGCCAGGAACTCCGCTTTCCCTGGGGCCCCAAAGTCGCTCATTTCCCTCCCATCTTGAAGCCCAGTAGTCTGGAAGGCCTTCCTCCTTCCTCTTCTCAGCCTGCACCCCTCCTGCTCCCTAGAACCCTCACTTACTGATCTTAGAGCCACAATGCTCTGAGGAACTGCAGATTTCTTGGTGCCTCATTTGCCAGATGTGGAAACTGAGGCTGAGAGCCAGACAGCCAGCAAGGGCTGGGCCTGAAATTACTGGATCTCCAAGCTCTCAGGCCCAAGTTCTTTTCACCATGCCACAGTGGTCCCTGGTGCCCTCACGAGGAGGCAAGTGCCCTGGGCTTTTCCTCCCACGGCTTCTGATCCTATGGCTGCGCAGGGACCAGTAGGAAATGGTTGCTGCTGCTTAGGCGGGAAGTGTCCCAGTTCAGCACATCCCTTTCCCACCAGACGAGAGCCAGTCCCTGGGGCTCTGCGGCATGGTCTGGGCGCACAGCAAGGGGACGGACTACCACAGGCAGCCATGGCAGGCCAAGATCTCTGTCACCGTAAGCACGTCGTCCTGGCCCGGGGGGCCCTTGGGGGGTGAGGTGGGAAGCGTCCAGGGCCATCGGTGGCCTGAGGCTGAGCCTCCCGCCACCGCGCCCCCCAGAGGCCACAGAAGGGACACGAGAACTGCATGGGCGCAGTGGTGTCCGAATACTTCGTGCTCACAGCGGCTCACTGCTTCACCGTGGAGGACCAGAGGCACTCCATCAAGGTCAACGTGGGTAAGGTGCAGGGCCCCTTGCGCGGCCCCCTCACATCCTAGCCAGCAGGGCAGGGCCAGAAGTCAGAGAGGGAAGGGGCCGAGCTGGAGGTAGAGGCTGCCTGCTGGAGAGCAGCGCCTGCTCCCCTCCCCTCAGGAGAGAAGAGGCAGGACCTGGAGGTAGAAGAAGTCCTGTTTCACCCCAAGTACAACATCAATGGGAAAAAGGAACAGGGGATCCTCGAGTTCTACGACTACGACGTGGCTCTGGTCAGGCTCAAGCGGAAGCTGAAGTTCAGCCAGACGCTCAGGTGAGGCTCGGGGACACCAGGGTGGGTGGGGGTGGCAGGCATGGCTGGGCTGTGACTGTCTCCACCCCGCAGGCCCATCTGTCTCCCCTGCACCGAGGGAACGACCCGAGCTCTGCGGCTCTCTCAGACAGCCACCTGCCAGGAGCACAGTAAGGCGGCGCCCCGGGCCGGGGGAGACAAGTGGGTAGCGGGGGAGCTGGGG